AAGATTGGCATAAGACGTGACAAGATTGAACGTCGTTCAGCCATCGCCATGCTTGTAAATGTCAAAGGCGCGTCAATGTTTTCTAAGGTGACGTCATTATAAAAAGTGGGAGGAGCTACAGGTTTCTGACGGAAAGGTCAATTGATAGCATAACGGCACAGAGGTGTTTAATGCTGATCATCTAAATTATCAAATGATATTCCCCGAAGCAGTAATTGAGAAGGGCGTTGTTTAAAGATATATTTTAATATTTTTCTCTTGTATAATTTGATTTTCAAATACAAACCATTAATACCCATCTTAGCATCGTGTATGACAGTGTGCATCAATATAATCACTTATTTGTGGTTATATTGAAATTTGTAAAGACGCGTTCTTTTGAATTTATATTTAAAAAATAATAACTTAAATACAACAGAACATAGTCCAGGAGGTTTTCCCCATTGGAAAAAAAAAACGTATTAGTAACGCTTATTCAACAAACAATTGTTATACTTTTAGTGATTTGTAGGGCGTCAAATCCTAATGTTATTGTACTGTTTTAAATTGTAGATTTTATTTTTTATTTTATTCATTGATGTAAAACATTTATTACAATTTTATAGTAAAATGTATAAAACACCGAGTTTTGCCTAGCAAATGCCAAATGAAGTTATGGAAAACGCGATGGCTGATATATGTATAGTTCACAAGCAGTATCATAATACAGATATGTGACGAGAAGCTAATATAAATAGGGCCTATACCCTATAAAAGTTTACCGTCATCGAATTGTTTACTGTCCTCGTTACATGGATTCAAATCACAAATACACCCAAGCTAGAAAACTACAAATCCGAAGAATTTTGTTTATAAAATATTCACTTTCCATTCAATAAATATTCCAGTCATCTATTTTTGGAATTGGGGACATTCATTCTCTTTTCCCCATAAATACAGATTGCCGTGTTATTTAATATTCAAACCAAACAGCATGTAATCAAAGAACGCTTTTATTCGTAATATGTAATATTGTCACGTGACATTGTTATGGGTTTTTTTCGCTTGGGAAGCGTTTATTATTCACTATAGAACTCCAGTATAGTAAACCATAACTATGAACAATATCATGTTCCAAATAAATAATCTAATTTGTAGATCTGCAATTTGTCACGTGATGGTCCGAACATTATTTGTATTGCTCAATTTGTTGATAGAAAATACCGCTAATAATTATCTTGTAAAAAAACACTTTTAGTAAAAGAGGCATTTGTGCCCAGCCTCGCTCTGAACAAAATACCTCGTTCCAAAACCGGCAATTTAAAAAATAAACTCGTTTTGGAACTCCAGACAAACGAGGCATTGTTTTTTTTTTACCTCGTTACAACGTGGCAAAAACTTTAGCACATTTTTGCCTCGTTTGGACAGAAATGCCAAAACGAGGTATTCTGGGGATTTATAGTGCTACCTAAACACGACTGGAAACTTCTTCTTGCAAGGATTTCGTTAAGTCAACGGCACCAAAAAGAGACAAGGCTATAACACTACACTGTGTCTTGGCAACAAATAAATAAAAATTAGATGTGATATTATCGTCTATGCCCTTCTTCGACTTCACGTTGTGGGATCAATTATTTCAATCATCAATTAACTGACTCTGGAACACCGTTTATGTTGTTACTAAGTTTATATAATTAAACAAATACAGCAAACTACAAAGTTATGTTAGTACTTTTTAAGTTTAGCATACTCAGCACGATCTGAGTTTAGCATACTTTACAACTCAAGACCTAACGGCTTAAATACTACATTTTGTATCTCTCTCAGCCGAGAAGGCTAAGATGTTCCCCTCTCGGGCCGCTCTATGATATCTGAGGGTAAATCAAACAAGCCCTCTCCTATAGAGGAAGTATAATGCGTCATCTATTAGGGCGGGACAATTACCATTTTTAGGTAAGTGTTTCGTATAGGCACCATTTTACGTCAACACTATTCTAGTTATTTGTACTAATCCGTGCACGAGATGACTGGACTATAGTACCCTACTTCCAGCAATGGATACTGACATAACTGTCGGTAAGTTAGTCTAAGATAGTAGTAAAATAATGCAAGCTACTTCACTACCCTAGCTTTCGTCACACATCATGTAGGTGAAGAATTTCTATATTAAACAGAACACCGTTCTTAATACTAAAATAAACCCTATAGTATTATACCCATAGAGAGCTGAGAGTGGCCCCTTTCGTCATGAATGCTACACTGCTTCCACTCTGAGGTGAGAGTGAGGCCAGAGAATCTAAATGAAATTTAGTTGATGCTTGATGAATGCAATCGTATAAGATCTGAGGCAGACTCGAGAATCCTTAGTCCCCTAATTTCTATTGGGATTGACCCTTTATCAAAACTGGTATCGGCTACCTCAAAAACGTATATTTTGACACCAAAATGTGCTCATTTTGTAAAATTCGAATTTCCCGCCATCTGGAATCATTCCCCAATATTTACTCCGCTGTATAACTAATCACCAAAATGTGCATGGAAATGGATTCAGCTGTCTCGAAAGGATATATTTTAATACAAAACTTGGTCACATTATAATAATTAGATAAAAAAAAAATTGCATTTTCTGGCAAAAACTGGCGGCGATTTTGGATATTGGCCAATTCGACCCATTTAGACACAGATTTAAGAATGCGCTTTTGGAAATGAAATGAAATGAAATGGAGTTTAACGTCCTACTGTTCTGCTCCTAACCTGGGCTAATGAAGACGGGCATACGCCATACAGTGTGCTATGAGGGAAATTTTGCCCGGACAGCGGCACTACGGCCTACTCTTATATCGAATTCCAACTGCCAAGGGATCTTTTACGTGCACGCCAATGTGTACACGGGACCTCGGTTTTTCGTCCCATCCGAACGACTAGACAGCTTTCCTTGTCAGCCCCTCCGTCCTGCATCACTGACAAGGGAGAACCACGCCGGAAAATCTGGATGAACTTTCTCGGCCAATGCAGGGATCGAACACCCGACCGCCAGGCTAGCGAGCTAGCGTCTTACCCACTTAGCCACGTGAAGGGGTGGGGGGTGGTAACATAAACATAAACCTTGGTCGACATTTCTATTGTAGCAACTGCCCAGGATGATGTGGAATTGAGTTGTACTGAAATGAATTGAAATGAAATTGGGGTTACTGGTGCACTGTTGTAATTAAGGCAAATATTGTATTTTTAATTAATACATTATTATGATTACTGTTCATATTGTAATTGTAATCCATACATTATTAGGTTTAATGTAAAAGTTTTATTTAATGTTAATTTTTTAATCGTAAGCCATACGCTGTAGTATTTTAATTGTAAGACATACGCTTTAGTAATTAATAGAAATATTGTAATTATAAGCCATATGCTGTTGTAATTGATAGAAATATTGTAATTGTAAGCCATATGCTGTTGTAATTAATAGAAATATTGTAATTGTAAGCCATATGCTGTTGTAATTAATAGAAATTGTAAGCAATATGATGGTGTAATTAATTGTAATTGTAAGAATTGTAAGACACTGTTGTGATTAAGGGGAATATTGTAATTGTAACACATGCACTATTTGGATTAAAGATACATTTTGGGTATTAGGTAAATAGCTGGCAGTTCTTACTATAATAGTTTAAAGCTAGATAATGTAAAGGAAATTTATTGAAAATTTCAGTGAAATTGATCCACTCTGAACCGAAACTTTAGCTATTGAATTGTCGGCCTAGCCTCGATCATCATTACTAAAGACGGCACGATAAAATAAACATAGTCTCGATTATCCATGAATGGAAGTCGAACAGAAAATCGGAAACTAACCCAATAAACACTGCAGGTAAACGCACGGGACTAGATTGTGAACTGCGCATGTTATCTAAATCCAATTATTAAGACCACCTGCCGATTTGACCAAGGCCGCCGAGTGTTAAATAGGTTCAGTTGTTGACGATCAGGGCACGTGCTTGTTGATGACCAGGTTTAAGAATTTGGTTGAAAAGTATTGATAAGCAATAATAAGAATATTATTACTCAAAAAATTAACTTGAGAAATTTAGAAAATTAATCTTTATAGAGAAACCGGCCAACATGTTTATATTATTTGTGCCTTTTTATACGCCCACATTGAAATGTGGTCGTATATTGTCGTCGGTCCCGCGTCCACGATTGCCTGTGGACGCTCTAGAGGCTAAAGTTAATATCTGATTGACTTTAAATTTATACACAGTGCTTAAGGTCTTGAGACGAAGAAGCCTATGGATTTTCCGCGATTTCCAATATTTGCTGCCAGAGTTATGGCCCTTGATCACTATGAAAAATCTTGTGGCCGCTCTAGAGGCCAGAGTTAATATCCGATTGACTTTCAATTTATACACAGTGTTTACGGTCATGAGAGGAAGAATCCTATCGATTTTCAGCGATTTCCGATAATTACTGCCAGAGTTATGGCTCTTGATCACTTCAAAAAAATTTGTGGATGCTCTAGAGGCTAAAGTTAATATCCGATTGAGTATAAATTTATACACAGTGTTTGAGGTCATGAGACGAAGATTCCTATTGATTTTTAACGATTTCCGATAATTACTGCCAAAGTTATGGCCCTTGATCACTTTGCAAAATCTTGTGACGCTCTAAAGGCTAAAGTTATCATCCGATTGACTTCAGATTGATATACAGAGTTTAAGATCTTGAGACGAACAAGTATATTGATTTTCAATGAATTTTTATGACTTGAACAGTTAAATCCATGATATTAAAAGCTTTGCATACAAAACGTTAGCATGGGGCAGAACTTTATAAAAACCAAACAAATTCTAATAGTTTTCTGATAAGTACGTCGTGAATTGTTGCTCTTAATCAGATTTTAGTGAATTATAAATGTTTCATTACCGAAAAAAGTAAAAATATGCGACAACCCTTGTTGACTGCCTGGACGATTTAGTTGCTGTGGGCGTATGTTTCCTTGCCTGGCAACCTATCTTTAATTCTAGTGAACCTGTGTCTACCCGACCCATGTAAAAATGGTGGTACTTGTTCACCAGTTGATAACGGTTACAGCTGTAATTGTCCTACAGGATATTTAGGAGAAAACTGTGATGGTAAGGTACTTACATTCATTATTGTCATAATAATTTAGCATGCTTTGATTAACAAGCAGACAAGTTCATTTTAGGAAAAGAAAAGGACTCAGGGTGCAGTCTTGGTTGACACTAGATTAGATTGACATGAGAATCCACTCATTACATCTGAGTTAACTCGTTATATCTGAATAAACTCATTACATCTGAGTTAACTCATTACACCTGAATTAACTAGTTACATTATAATTGTTATAATAGGTCCATGTTATCTTGCTCAAACAATGTATCATATAACTTTGTTTGATTAAGGGGGGTTGGATGGCCGAATGGTTAGCACGCGCGTGCTGTATCATACGGTCTGTCATTGAGTCAACCTTCGGGGTTCCGATTCCCCGGTGGTACGTGACAAGGAATAGAGTCGCCTGTCCAACCTCGTGGGTTTTCTCCGGGCCCTCCGGTTTCCTCCCACTGCTAAAGACCCCTACGCGCAAGCGAATGATTGAAATAAAATTAAACCATATGTTAGTCCCGAAATGACCTAGTTTGTGTCGAGTGGACGTTAAACCCCATTTCTCTCTCTCTCTTGTTTGTTTGATTAATTCTGACAGAGGCGTACCTGAAATCGATAAGACCGAATATAATCAACCTGTTTTACAGTTACTAATACAAATTCATTACCACTGAATATCCTTTCCCGAACTCAGCTTGTTCCTCTCCTGCTTATCGGACCATTTCACTAACATGCTATACAGAATTGATATGAATAATTTTAAGGCATGGATCAGAATGTAGGATGTCACTATACTTACTTGGTAATGTCATATCCTCACCAGTAGCCTACTTTTTACAGTCACCACTGATAATTTCTAGGTCACGAAGAAATATGGGTCATTCCATTTCACCTGGACATGTGCTTGTAAGTGACCCCCTCAGAAAATTATGAAAACAAATATGTTATAGTACATAGAGTCTTATGTAAAACTGTAAAGTTATATGACTCTAGTATTAATATGACCATTTCACCCGGACCAGTGCTTGTAAGTGACCCCCTCAGAAAATTATGAAAACAAATATGTTATAGTACATAGAGTCTTATGTAAAACTGTAAAGTTATATGACTCTAGTATTAATATTGATATGACTCGATTTTTGTGATCTGATTTTATTCCTTCTAGCCAGTTTATGTTCTTGAAATTATGGGGTTTGTAAGAAAATGTTATGTAGATTAAGAATTTACAAGCACAGTTTACAGGAAAAGTACCATCAACTGCGTATGGAGTACCCTAAGTGCCAAAATGTGATACTTGTGCAAAAAACAATCGATATAACATTCTCTTACAAACCCCTTAATTTCAAGAATATTGTCTATCTAGGGTATATAAAATCAGAACACTAAAATCGAGCCATATACCAGTCGTTTCAAAACTTGCGAAAGGGTATCTGATTCAAATGGCCATATTAATACTAGAGTCATATAGTTTTACATAAGACTGTGTGTACTATAACATATGTTTTTTTTATATATATAAATTTCCCGAGAGGGTCACTTTACAGCTTTCTCAGAATTGGGTCCCCTTGACATGGAATGACCCATATCCATATTACATTATGCTATAATTAACAATTGGAATTAGGTCACTCAGTATCTAATATACATTATTACTAATATATGTGACGTCTACATTTTTTTAATTTAATTTTAGTTAACCCATGTGATATCAACAACCCCTGTTTAAATGATGGTACGTGTTATCTATCAGAAGGTAACGTGAGTTGCAGCTGTCCTCCTGGATTTGAAGGGTCCTTTTGCCAAGGTAAGCCGGTACTATGTCTGTACACTATATATCCTTCTTCGGTATAAAAACCTATATATAAATATTTGCATAATATAATAAATAAAGGTTAAAATGCCTAAAGAAATTACTATTATTTAATTGTCTACATGTTTCGCCTGATTTCGGTAGCCATAATTACAGAAATAACGTGAAGTCCAAGACTACTGAGTCCCAACAGACAGTATCCACGCCAGCTATTCCTAGACGATCAAGGTTGTCACAAATCGGATAGATGAGTTATGCGCCCTTGAGTATGAAGGCTTGATAAATCTGGCTCGTGCAAATGTTGAGGAAAATGAGTTTTAGACATAAATAACAGTGTCAATTTATACCAGTTGTAAATAGATTCTGTATAGGTAATTGGGTGGTTATCTGTTTGATGTAAACAAATTAAAGAACACCAAGGAAAATAGTTATCCAACTTATTCTATCGAATTTGAACAAAGGCTCTAATGAACCAAGATGGCGGACCAGGTAAACAAAGATAAACAAAACAAATTAGACAAGTTTTTAACTCAAACCCCAAGGCCTTAAAAGATATTGTTATAAACTTGCCCAGTCTCCCTTAAGCTAAGAATTGACTGGTCTGTATTGATGACCCCAGAGTGCACATGCGTGGGTTGTTATAGGGTATGAAAAGCTCACATGTTAGAGTGGCCCACAGACTCATTTATCTGTACTATATAAACTGACCTGTTTTAACAGCATGTTGTCACGCGGATCAAAACTTCGTTTATGAGAAAAGTGCTCTCACGGGCTCGCTCGTGCACTGTAAGCAGCAAACAGTCGCCCAAAATAGACATTCACGTGACAATATTCGTTCACTTATTTATCAATGAAGCCATGTAAAAAAATTATTCTTTACTCGTTGGACTTTTAAAAATAAGTAGTTACGAACTAGATTAAAATTTTGGCTAAAACTCGGCGATTTAATTTCTAAGTTAGTTGATTGTAACCAATGACGTATATATTGTAACGGTTCTCGGTTCAGAGTCAACTCGTGTAGTTTCGCCCTTTTTCTATCTTTTAAATCCACTCTCGTGGCAACATACCGACACTGCAAGACTGTGAAAGTTACTTTTATTTAACCGTAAAACTCTGTTGTTAGTGGGCGCTTTAGTTACTTTAGAAGTTACATTGTTGCTATCTCTAAATACGCAGAACAAATTTGAGACTGGAAATTAATTGAACGAAATTATTTTCTCTAGTTTCGATTAACCAGACGTGCATGATTAAAATAAAATTACGGTACTGGTCACAAGACTCGGATTCTAATCATTTTAGGGCACTGCAAATTGGCCTCCGGTTTTGTGTCAAATTTAATAGGAGGATGTGCCATTATGGCTATGCTATTCATGTATATTATCCTTATGCATTTGCCATTTCTAACATGGTGATTACAAAACGTTCCAGTTATTATAAATCTAGCAACAACTCATTTTTCTAGAACTGAAATATAACCAAAAAGACGCGATTGACTGCTTCATAATTATTAAAAATATGAAAACGCGACACGATGCGTAAATTGTGCGTCTTACTTTCGAGAACAATAGCTATAAAACAGAAATTTCCAGATTGATACATAAAATGACACAACCAACCATAAGTGGTAATTTAAACACAAAGGATATATTTAAACTCAAATTTCTCTAACATTTCACTAAAAGATCCCTATTGTAGAACTCCCAACTTATTATATAGTCATTGTCATGCCGTTTGTTTTTAATAACAGAATTTTCCAGTCATATAACAGATCAAAGAATTTTTCGAGACGCATTGTCACGTATCGACTTCTATTTTTGGATTATCTGGCGCCACATATAGCCCAATCATATCAAAAAGCATGCAGTTCCACCTTGAAATGGGTTCAATTGATTTACGGTTTATTCTTTAATTTATAACACATAGAGCACAATATGTAGGAGTCGCGTTTTTGACTTTTAAGTAGATTCTTATACGGAATTCCGGATGCAATGCTAGACATTTGGAACACTGCTGCCGAACCGATTTGAAAATGCTTAAGGTTTTCTTTGCGCATGTCGTGTGCTCCTCTGTTTTTGATGTGGATGTTTTTATATTTGTGATAATTATTTGAAACAAAATAGGATTATCATAAAGAATATTTAACATCTACAATATGAGTAAGGTAAGCACTCTCTACATACTGCGTTTGTAAACCACGAAATTCACCCCTTATTAGAAAGTTTTAACTATAGTCTATTGCATGTAAACGTTAAAAAAATCAGCTCAAAATAGACATCTCTCTCTCTCTCTAACTAAGGACTGCGCACGCGTACAAATGTTAAATTCAATCGTTAATTGTACGTACGAAAAAAAAAAACGAAGAAAGCCGACTGCGGAAATTAAGAATTCGTTTTCCAGAGCAAAATTTGAAACTTTGATGTGACCAAGAAACATAACTCTTTTTAATGAAAAAATCTACCGCTGTAACGCTACTTGGGCGATCAACTTTTCCATATAATTAGAAAGTCCCATTCAAATGGCCAAATCATACAAATATCCAACTTAGCAATAGTTTAATTGTTAATGAATGATGATTTTAATGGTAAGTCTTATCATATTTGTTAAAATAAGCCCCAAATATAGCTCGATTATTGGATTTTTGTTATTTGCACGAACCACTCTACACATGTATGAGCATTCACCTCTCTGATCTTTGACTCTTGATGTCTGGAGTTTATTTAACTGGTGAAGTTGTGTAGCTTACTGCTTACCTGAAGTGAATGGTTGCTGTGTAAAGGAAGAAGTGTTGATTGATGGGGAGTTTTTTTTTATCCTGTAGTGTTGAGTTAGATAGCCTATGTAATTAGCTTTGCAAGATTGCAGAAGGAGACACCCCATAACCCATTATTGGCCTTCTTCGGCCATCACAGGTCAATACTGGGTATCCGAAAGTAGGTGTTGGTATTTTTATATTAGATAAAATCTAATTTTACAATAAATGGCGCTGCTGCTTTTAAACTTTTGTGGGTAGGGTGTTAGTGGGAGTTAGTTTAAAATTCCCGTTTCCCCTTTAGTGAGTGGATAAAATTCACCTAACTGCCTATTGTAAATTATAAAAAAGTAGTAGTGATTGAAATTTCGTATCTGATATATTTATTAGGGTAATTGTAGTTCATATTGCAATGGGGCAAACTCACATATATATTATTTAAATTGTTGACATAGAATACTCGAAAGCACGGTAAAGTACTAGCCGTCACCTTGGTAACGCATGCTTTTTGAGTGTTTGGGGGTTAGCTCTAGCTACATCGGTAATATTAGCCATATAGACAACTCAACAAATAATTTAGATCACCTCACTTTTATTAATAATCTGCAGGGATACTAATTTGTACTTAGTGATATTTATTGGTCTATGTTTACGTTAGGTGGAAAGTATAATTAACTCAGGAATTTCCCGATACGCATTTCGCGGAAGTAAACAACCAAAATGGCCGACATTTGAGAAAATAGTCAAACTTTTGGGAAATTTTTTAGATTAAGTTTAATTCTTGACTTGATTAAGTTGAATTATTTTCTTAGATTACTTTTATAGTAAAGCCCCTATATCCTAGGTTACTTGAAAGGGTTATTGGTTACATTTTTGTTGCAAATAAACTTAGTTTACTTAATTCAACAATAATCATATCATGGCAGAAAAATTCGAATTTGGTACCGATTCTAAATGGCCAGTTAAATCAGAACCCTTTGATTATAGGGAAGCTTTTCTTGAGGAGGCAGAGGTATTTTTAGAGGATCCACGGTCATGTATGCAACCCACTTTGTACCCAGGTCAGGATGTGAGAAGTAGGGAACCCCACCCCAATACATTTGAAAAGGAGGGGAGGTTTGTAAGACATGATAATAGACATCAACCAAGAGAAGACTCCTTTAACCCCTCAACTATTCCTCGCTGTTTAGTTTATAACGGGAAATCAGATGGAAGTTGGGATACTTTTAGTGATAAGTTTATCCGTTTTGCCCTGTCCCAGCCCTAGGGGTCTCATAGCTCTCGGTGTAAGGATTATCTATGTTCTTGTTTAACGGATAAGGCAGCGGAATACTTTACAAGTATAACTCGAAGATTTCCTCGCATGAATTTTAAATCAACTTTAGAAATGATGCAAAAACGCTTAGGAGTTCAAACTATTCCGGAGGCTGCTCAAGTTGAGATTCAGACCGCAACTCAAGGTCTCAATGGGTCGATAAGTGATTGGAGTGATCGTGTACAACAGTTAGCATTACGAGCTTACTCTGGTTTGTCGTCGGATGATTTTATAGCTAGACAATCTGTTTTGAAATTGGTTTCGGGATGTAATAATCCAGAAGTGGGCAGATTTGTCGCTAACTTAAGATTAATTGATATTGAGGAAGCGGTTGAACGGTTGCAGTGGTTCACTCATGTCAACAGCGTAATTCCGTTAAAATCTAATTCAGATAGGAATAGGGGTAGTGGTTATCCCGGGGGAGATAGAGAGGTAGGATTCCTTAATGTGCCCGAGATTGGAAATTTTCCCCGAACAGATAGACATGATGACTATGATTCGGATAAGTTTACGTCTCGTCAATCTCGATCCTCGCTCCCTCGACGATTATATAAAGACCTAAGATCCCCTCGGGTTAGTCGTACTTATTACTACCCTGAGTCAAGATCACCCAGTCCCTCTCAAGTAGGATTTAGGGAATTTCCTCAAGCAGATATGCAAACAGCAGTGGAATATAGTCCGGTATATCCCCATGTACGTAGGACTAGTCCTTCGCCTGTGCGCAATCAAGTTAAACCTCCCAGTTTAAATGTTAAGGCCACCCCTGAATAACCTAAAGAGGAGTCTGAAATAGGTCAGATGAAGACGGAAATAACTCAACTTAAGGATATGATAGCCACTTTAATTTTGACTTTAAATACGAGAAGGTCCTCCCCTTCACCTAATAGGGCAAGTGTGACATGTTGAATGTCATTTGCGACCTTCCAATTC